GTCTTCTCTAGCTTCCCACACGTTTCCATCGTTAACAACAAAAACTTGATGATGCTTAAAATTAGGTCCTTGCCATAGATGACACCAAAAAAAGTCGAAATCATGTTCTTTGTAAAGTAAATGGTAGGATCCTGAGGGATGCACCCTATGGTATCCCATATCTTGGTCAGTGGATTTGCAATGGACTATAAGATCGTTTTTGTCACTCAGTTTATTTCTGATCCACACGGATTCTGTGTAGGAGTCGGATAAGGCTGTGTTACTCATCATGGTAAGGCCAAAGGCAAAAACAAAAAGGAGAAACGGTACACGATTCATCGATACCGTAACGTTGTGTTGAATTTTTGCAGTGAATTCTCTGATTTTTAAAACGAAGATCAAGAAACCGTGGGGAGGGTGATGGATAGAGAGAGAGGAAAATATGCGGAAGAAGAAAATTTTTCTTTGATAGAATGTTAGAAGGTTTCATATATAGTCTTTAAGTAATTATAACAATTACTAACAAGAATGACTTTATCGATTGCAATTTTTAATACTTACTAATTTAAAAATACGTGGCAGAATTATAAATGGTTAATATCTTATTGAGAAGTTGATCAAGTTTGCAGGGGTATTGAATCAAAGATTATCCGATAAAACTCACAACTAAACCGAAATAATTGATCTTAAAACTAAATTCTAACAATGGTTAAAATGAATAATTTTTTTCTATTTTCAAACAAGCGCATAAAAAATCGATCCGGAACTATATTAAGAAAAATGATCGATTTGATTTAAAAAAAAAAACATAATTTGAACCTAAACTAAAATTATACAAACTGATTCATAAGACATCTATGAAAGCAGCAGTGGGCGATCATAATTAGGGAATTGTGTAACACGCGCGGCCGAAGACGTGAACGTTCGTCGCCGGAGGATTCCAAATAAGTAGTAGTGTAGTACAAAATAATTTATGTATCAAAAAACATTACAGTGCACATTCTTAAGATATGTAAGAAATTAGTATTTGTGGTAAAATTGAAATGGCAGATACTCCAAATTGATATTCTGTTAATTTAGGTCACGTATGGTATGGATCAAGCAGCCGGATCCCACAGAAACGCAACACATTCGTCGCATTAATATCTCAAAGTCAATCCGGGTTAAAGACGGTTTTCAAGCATCACCCGGTTCAGGTTTTGGTTTGTCAAATATTTGGATTGGAGACTTGATAAAATATAATTAATATTATAAGTAAATAAATCATTTATTCTTTTCTTATTAATGTATGATTTTTAGCGTAATACGATTTTCTTTCCGTGGTTTGTTATTTGTTTTATCCAACAACAACAAATCCTACCATTCTCAATAGTTAAAGCCTTCACACAGAATATCCCTTTTTTGCAACATTTTTAATTTCGTTTTAAATTATTAATAGACATTGAAAAAGTGAGATTCTTTTTAACTTAAATTGACCAAAATTTCAATGCTTTAACCGTTAGAAAAAAAGGAAAGAAGAATGACAAAAAAGAAGAAGAACTTTGGGAATCCATCTTGAGTTGTAGACAGCTGGCCTAACATTTACTTAGCGAGGATATGGAGCAATTATTACTGGTTACATTTGCTTTGAGAAATCCATGATCGATAAATATGCTAATCTTGTTAATTCTTCCCAAGTATGTATATACACCCTCTCGAGTATTATTAGCTTTAAACAAACCATTTGACTCAAAATGGTTAAGAATACTTTCCTTTATCTGTTTGTTATTATTTTCTTGTATTTTGGTTCTAGTGAAGCTATTAGTCTTAAGTGCCACCAGAACACCATAACTTTTCAGAACAACCTCTTTGCAAGTCGGAGTATTCTTAAAGTTCATTGCAAATCCAAAAACGACGATTTAGGCGAACACTTTGTAAATTATGAAGGTCCAACATATAATTTTAGCTTCCATGATAATATCATCTTCAATACAGAATTTGATTGTGATTTGTGGAAGGGGGATCATATGGAGTATCATCAATCTTTTGCAGCATATACATCAAATTTTCTTATTAATTGTGGTGAGTTACACACATGGGATGCTAGAGATAATGCAATTTACTACTCAAAAGATGGTAAGCCAGAAGAGCTCAAGTTCGGATGGATTAAAAATTGAAGTTGATCACTTCTTATTCCAATTTCATCTTATATGAGCTAATTAAGTTGCCTTTTTATTTATTGTTAGAATATACACCAAAGGCAACAAAATAATTTTCTTGTATATGGTTTCGATTTATGAATCATATATATTAGAAGAGTATGTATATTACTTGTACATCATATAAGAAAAAGAAAAACCACACTGTAGATCTTGGTCGATGAGATCAAACTTAAAAGTTAAATATGACTCATATATAAACCGAAATCGATCAGAAGAAAACATAAATAAGATCCATTATTCTGTTGTCAATTCTAACACACAAAACTGCAACATAATTAGTTCATAAGATGGAAATGAGAATTTAGCTTTACGAACATCAACCTTTAATCCAACTATACATGAGTTGCTCCGGCTTATCATTTTTTGCCAAGTAAATAGCATCATCTCTTATATCCCATGTGTACAACGCGCCACATCTATAAATGGGGGCTCCTTCATATGCTGTAAAATTCCTATGATACTCCAGCCTAGCTCCCTTCCACAAGTTACATTTGAATATCGTCGTGAGAACGAGGTCATCATGAAAACTAAAATTGTATGCAGGATCTTGAAATTTCACAAAATGTTCGCCCAAATCGTCGTTTCTGGATTTGCAATGGACTTTTAGAGTACTATGACTTACAGAAAGGTTGTTTTGAAAAACTACAGTGTTTTTATGACATTTATCTTGATTCGACCCAAAACACAAAACTAATATAAAAAACAGAAAGCTAAATACAAGCTTCATTATTTTTGAATCAATCTGATAGATTATACTTGGGGAGGATCACAAAATACTTATTTATTATCTTTGTGTATGTCTTTGGAGATATTTATAGGCTTCATATGTTTGTCAAAGTTTTTCCCATCCTTAACAATTGTTGCCAGACCATGAATCACTTTGGTTTGATGTTTGAACTCCATTTGGCGGACATATATAGAATTCATTGGTGCCTCTTACCCTCTGGAAACAAATTTTCAGTAAATTTCTTAAACATTCTTTGATTTTTTCTTTGTTGTCATAAAATGGGTTAAATTTTAAATGAATAGTATTTCACAAGTTTTAATTTTCTTATCTTTATTTTAACAGTTAATAAAATGATTAAAGTTTTAGTAAGTAAATAGTAAAAATCTCATCTTTCTGATTTATATTCAAATAAATAAATTTACATAACTTTTTTTTGAAAAAACTCATCTTCACATTCATTAATTTCTAATTATTTCAATTTTAATAAATTAAACTGAGTTAATTAAGTCAACTTTGTTTTAAGTTTTTAAATAAATACATATGAACAAGAAAAATGAATATTTTCACTCAGAAATATCTTATATATTATAAATCAAGATGAAAGCTTTGATAATGTTGGTATCAATTTTTTTTTTTTTTTGATGATATGAATATTTCATCGGAATTTACTTGGATAAAGCTGAAAATGAAATGTTTCACTAAAGAACATGTAAAGAGGAAGAGGGTGAAATATCAAAAGACCGAGTTAGAAGAAAGGTCAAATTAAAGACTTGATCATGGTTCTAGCATTTTGATTCGATATATCAACAATTGTTTGATTCAATCTTGGTTGCAATTTGTTTAGATAGGTTTCTTTGTACAAGATGAGAAATCTCATCACGTACGAATGCAGATTCATACATGATACATTATATTCAATGAATTCATACTTTTTTTACATATGTGTGTCTATTAAACACCAAAATCGAAAGAAAACTTGAGCTTCATAAACATAAATTAGCATTACGGAAAAGAAAAAAACATTAGTTTTTCGTCCAACGTTGATCGAGCTTTTCTGGACCAGCATTTGCGGATAAATAAATCCCATCAAATTTGGCAATATATACACGTAACTCACCACATCGAGGAATTGGAGCACTTCCTCTGTATGCTCTAAAGTATTGAAAAGACTTCCCTTGTTGCACTAAGCAATGCCATGTTGTTCTTTCAAATGCAGCCTCACGGAAATTAATACGAACTGGCATACTTTTGAATTTCACTGTGCCGGTGACTCGATTTTTACTGTTGGATTCGCAATTGACTTTGAGAAGAGTACCAGGACCGAGTGCGTTTCGAAATATTATTGTGCAATCTTCGCAAGCTTCATTTAATCCAAAAGACAAAGCAATGATTAACAAAAAAGCTACGAGGCGATTCATTTTTTTAAAAAAAATCTAAATTGTACTTCGGAGTAATATGAATTTAAAGAACATGAAGGTGTAGTTATTTATAGTTTTTTTTGTTTATTTATGTAATAGAAGTTATAAAGGCCATGCAAAAATTAGAACACAAACGTGCACCAATTAAACAAACGTGCACCAAAAATAGAAGTTTTTGACATTTGGCACTTTTAATATTTGATATGTGTCATTTTTCCTCTTAATTATTTGCAATGTATTTACATTAATATACCACAATTAGTTTCTCTATTTCTTAAAAAAAAAAATATTTCTCCCTTTTATTTATTTTCTAATATTTTATAGTTTCCATTTATTTAAAAGTTTCTCCATACTTTTAACATTAATATAATGTGGAGAATAAAATTCATATATGACACCAAAAGTTAATTTTCTCTTAATTATTAGTAGTATTTTTAATTATTTACATTAATTTATCTACTTGTAATAATTAAAAATAAATTAATAAATATTTTCTCAAATTTTTAATTTTTTCCTATTCTCCATACTTTTTAATACCAAAACTATGTGTAAACAAAATTATGCAAAAATGAAAATGGCAATAAAAAGAGGCATTTTTGAAAAGGGTATCTAAAAAGGGGCATTTCTAACAATTCCTCTTGGATATTTAGGTAGTTTAAGTAGTAAAAACTAATAGCAATATGAATTCGTTTATCGTCTCAAATCTTATTCATTTAGAGCATACGACAACAATAGACTAAATTAATAAAAGAACCCCTCAGAAACAATATTCGTTTATCATCAATTACAGAATTATTACAAGAGCATGTTAAACACTATGAAAGCTGTGGGAATTTGTGATTGAGAAAACGATAAATGTAGAATTTGGCTTCAAGTTACAAAGGCTGACCACTGATCCACCTTTGGAACATGATATAAGTCTCCTCTGGTTTATACTCTGGTGTGTGTCCACCTCCCTATAATCAAACCCACAAATCAATTAAGAAATATAATGTGAAAACTGCAATCAAAACGTTGAGTGGAAATGAAACTAGAGGAAAAGACTTGCTTTGATTGTAGCAAATGTCATCTTATTGGCATAAGTCCTCGTGTATCTGCCACAAAGAGAGCGAGTCTAATGAGCTCATATATACAACAATAGAATGAGTTAACAAGAGAGCCCATCAATACAAAAGAAACGGTAATACCCAGCGATTTGATCGCCTATCATCCAAGGTCTCCAGTCATCAATGAGAGGATAATTAAGAGACCTAATCCAAGCTTGAGTTCCAAGGTAAGGTACTTCCATGTCGTGATCCCCACTGTTCACCCAAAAAACCTCACAATGTTCACAAAAAGTCTTTGAATCTTGAAGCACTTCTTCAAAAGCTAGAGGTTAAACTCTCACCTGAAGATGAGAGAAGGATAGCCATCGATGCTGTTATTCATATGGTACGGTACACTGCTTTTAATGTCATGATTGTAAGGTATCTCCCGATAACAACGTATCCATTCTCCTATACTCCCCTGCAAGTATAGATTCTCCTAAAGAGTATAAAATTTCGTTACCAAAAATCTGAAATTTACTTTTTATATCATTGTATTGACCTTATTGACATGAAGAGCTCTCTGCACACTCTCATCATTGGCCCAGTAGGTAGTTAACAAATACCGATACATCTGCAAACGCAACCTTGTAAAATACTTTTTTTTCTTTTTCTTTTTTTTCAATGGTTTAAAAGAGTGCAAGATGGATTACTTACATAGCAATCAGGAGATGTTTCTACACACTCTGGCGTTATTATAAGTGCTGTGTTTATTCTATTAATGCACTAGAATTAACACAAAAGTCTGAATTAGTGATTACTAGGTAGACAGAAGATAACATCAACTAGCATTTCCATGAGTGTGTGTGTGTGTGTACCTTCTGATATTCTCCAACGAGTTTCAAGCATTTTGTGTTACGTGGATCAACATTTTCATATTTTCCTTTGCAGATTCTCTTCATTGACTGCAAGAAAAGAAAATCTTTGAACTACTTGTTATCTACTTTCATTGTGGGGACAAGATGTAAAAGCATGTCTTCTTTCATACCTCATAGAGTTCATCAGAGATCAGTGCCATTCCATGAGCATATGGAATGCGATAATTCATATCAATTTCATTTTCTGTTGATGGGTTTCCGAGAACATAGCCCTGTTTTTTTTTTGTCAGTGTACCAAGGACGAAATCTATCAATTTTTTAATGCTCAATAAGGTATATAATATACGAAGCAACAAACACCGATGAACCTGAAGATTTATTGGAGGTTTGCAGCATACATAGTTTCCTGCATCATCATGTTTATACTGTTATAAAGAGAAATATTTGATCAAGAAACGAGACTCACAGCAATGGAATTGGGGATTTATATGCAAAAATAAAATCATACCTTTTGAGATTTCTTGAACGAGTGCCGGAATGACCATACCGCAATAAGAATCCCCACCGACATAGAAAGGGTTGGAGGAAAACTCTTGATGCTTGCTTAGCCACTGCACAACAACCAAAACAACAAAACTCCTCACGTCTATGCACAGAGAAGAGATGTTTCAAGAGATAATTTTGTCTTTCACCTTGAGAAGAAACTCGTGGATCCTCTTGGCTTCTCCTGAATCACTGGGTTTGTTAAGAAGTTTAGTTCTTGAGTAGGAGAAGCCAGTTCCAACAGGCTGATCCAAATATATTATATTTGAAACCTAGAAAAACATGATACAAAACTTAAAAGATTCTGAGCATAGATCATCATATGAAAGCAAACACTTTGTGCTACCTTAGTCCATGAATATGTAGTAGAGACCAAGGAAGGAAGAGTTCCATTGTAAACCTCAAGCTTCACAGCCACAGGCCCTGATTCAAACATGTGGAGTTGAACACGTGGGGATCAAGCTAAAAGGGGACCAGTTTGAACTCTAGTTACTCTGAGAAAAGCTTGGACCACAAATTGAAGCAGCTAATTTTGACTCTTCGTCCTTTTGTGATATCAAGGCTTAAGGGTGTCTTTGTCTTGTCTTAAAACGCACGAAAGGTGACATCTTTGGCGGTTGGCAAAAGCACACGAGATCCAATGTTGTCTATTCTATAAAGTAAAATAATGGAGACGGTGTGTGTGTGATGTTTATTAGACATTGTTTTCTCGATCTGTGAACTTCTCTTGGAATTATAAATTTTATCTGGTTCTGTTTTTAACACAAGTGCCCTACTCTGTTTTCAAATCAAACGACTTTGAATCTTGTTTTGGTTTAGTTTAAGGTTTGAGAAAGACTCAATCTTTTAAGGTCCAAACCTAACAAAACAAGAAGACGAAGCAGAGAGACAAAACATAACAATTTGTTGAAAATAAATGATGTTTTAGATATTACCATTCTCATAAAGAAGACCAGAGATAGAAGAGCAACCAGGTCCTCCACTTAACCAGAGAAGAAGAGGATCTTCTTGTGGATTCCTCTCAGATTTGATAAAGTAATAAAACAACTGCACTTCCTCTTCATCACCAACACCAATATACCTTTCCATTCACAAAGAACCATATTCATACATAACCTTAGATTATCTCGAAACTCAGCACCAACGGATTAATCAATCACAGTAAAAGGAAACAAACCCGGTTTCGAGCTCAAAGGGAAGAGGGCCATCAAAACCAGGAAGAGACTTGACGATAGAGGCAGAATCAGTACGCTGACTCAAGAAGATAAGGAGAAAAAGAAGAAGCAGAACAGAGGAAACGTAGTCGTTAGCCATTCGTTTATCTGATAAATCAATACCTTAGTACATACAATTATTTAACCTTTGTAGCTTTATAGAAAGAAAAAAACAACAAAAGAACAAAAAACCTTAGAATTATCTTATAAAAACAAAAGGCGGTAGATTGCGTTCCGTGATTCACTTGTGTCCTTTTCACTGTCTCCCAATCTCTCGTTGTCAAAACTGTCAGATTTTTTTGTTTTACCACCGCTCGAGTTTAATTACCCATAATATAATTAGAGAGCTTGTGTTTACTAGTTTATTTACTGTAATCAAAAAATGAAAAAAAATATTATTTTACCCCTGAAATGATGAGATTCCGATAGATTTTACTTGGCAGAGTAAGAATAAAATCTTATACAGAGAGGTTCTCCATCGAACCGAATTAAACCCCCTCCAATCCGCTTAGTGCTTGTACAGTAGCAAGACCACTCGCTAGCTCTATCTAGAAGAGAAAACAACTACGAATATACATTGTGATTACAGCATCAAGAAATAGCTCATTGAACAAAAGTGAAGTCGCAGAATCTCAAACATAAGAGGCTGACCAGAGGATATTCGATCTTAGCGAGACTCAGAAGTCCCCTCGCATCTTCTCCTTAAGTGAGGGTTCCTTGTACGATTTGATTTTTTCAGCAGCTTGCCTTGAAGGTCTTCCAACAGTTGTTTTTCTCATCTCCTCTGATTCATCGCATGTTGGTTTGTTCTTTGATTCTCTTTTAAGCTCCATTGAAACCGATGATGATACCTGACTAGACTCCGAAATAATGTCATCATGCAAAGGCGGATCTGCGGATTCTTTGATGGCTCTCGGAGTTTCAATGTTTGCAGATTGTCTTCTTGAAGAGACTCTGTCAAGTATACCAGTTTAGATAAATACTCTTAACACTTTAGTTCAACGGAATCTAGAGAATTAATCTATCACTGCAAACCTGCTTTTCCCGATTGTCTCTTTCATGTCATGTGGTTCTGCTGCTTCGGGTTTCGACCCGATAGACTGTTCACTTGCACAGCATCTATAATGAAATCCATAACCAAAAAAGAGGAAGTAGCATAAATGTACTTGGTTTATGGATAAGTTATCAATCAAGAGGAATGGAAAAGGAAAGAACATGTGAAGCTTCTATAAACCTGGCATTTGCAGCAATCGTTTGATCATGTAGACCATTCAAGTTTTCAGTCACGCCCAGCTCTTGGAAATTAAAGATCGCAGACTGTCTTCTCAAAGATATCCTGCGGAAAATAAAATCACATTAGATAACAATTTTAACCCTGTAGTCTGTAATTCTGCAGAATACAGACAATTTATCTATCACTACAAAACCTGCTTTTCCTGGTTATCTGTTTTGTGTCATGTGGTTCTACTGCTTCGGGTTTAAACCCGGTAGACTGTTCACGCGCAGAGCATCTGGAATGACATCCATAAAGAAAGAAAAAGAAAACACCGCAAATGGCATAAGTGAACTTGGTTCATAGATATGTTAGTGGAAAAGGAAATAACATGTGCTGCTTCTACAAACCCGGCCTTTGCAGCAATTTCTTGATCATCATGTAAACCCTTCAAGTTCTGAATAACGCCCAGCTCTTGGATATTGAACATCCCAGACCTGCAAAAAATAAAACCGCATGTTTAGGTTGCTTCATAAGGGTACACTACTTATAAACACGGCATAACGCTTATTGTAGACCTCCTCCTCCTGGTTGTCTCTATTGACTCATGGAGGCTTTCAGATGGCACAGGTTCTTGAGATTTTAACCGGGCAGAACGCCTTCTCAAAGGGAACCTGCTTGAAACAGAGAGAGTGCAAAAGTCATTTCCACAAGTCTACACAGGCTTTGAATGTTAGCCCTAAATTTGAAACTGGAAAAAGGGCAGTTAAAAAACCTTGAATCGTATGGATTTTCAGATGGCTCAGGTTCTTGAGATTTTACCCAGTCAGGATGCTTTTTCAAAGAAACCCTGCTTAAAACAGAGAAAGTGCATACTCACAAGTCAGTTCCACTAGTCTTCACCCGCTTTATATGTTATTCCTAAATTTGAAACTGGAAAATAGGCAATTAACAAACCTTGCATCCTCCTTATTTTCTCTGGTGTCAACCACTTTTTGCAAGTTTACCGTTTGACCAGTGTCTGGAGTTTTAAAACTGGCAGACTGCCTTCCTGCACAATACCTGCAGCAAAAACAACACAAGAGAACAAATAAAAGCCCAAATAAGATAGCGAAATATAAATATATAACTAATTCATCTAATCGCGTTGAATAAATGAACCTCTTGCTTTGGACATTGTCGTTTATATGGTCTTCAGCATCGAGCAAAACCTCCTTTTTATCAGCAGCATTGTCACCATCAGAGACCAATTTCTTGTTGTCAATGTTGTCTTCTGTCGGACATGTCTCTGCCAGTCTATCAATAATATCTAATACTTCGGAATTGGCAGGATTCTTCCTTCCAGAAACTCTCCTATAAAGAAAAGCAAGAAATCCAGGATAACCTAGTTTTAAAAGACTATGAATGAAGCATCAAGCAGATTGAGCAAGAGAGAGACCGGACCTTTTATTGTTGGCTTTCTCAATTATTTGCAATGAGTTAACGTTAGAGCTCTCTGAAGCTGAAAATGTAACAAATAGTCATTAAAGGTAAGAATGCTAAGAGATTCCTAGAATCCACAATGAAAATAAGCCGAAATTTTTTCATTTTATGCTTGACTGTTGTTTTATCTTACCATTCTCATGATCTGCGTCATTTGGCTGAACGGTTTTGCAAGCCCCACCACAAGCATTTGCATGAGCCTGAAGGTCACGACAATGCAGAAGAAACATAAGAACAATGGAGCAGTAGGGTCATAATGTCCAATTCCAGAGGTCACAAAAGCCAATTCTCATAAGTACCTTTACTTTTGTTGCATGACGTGTACATGGAAGGGTTTGCTCCTGGAAAGAAAAGGTGACAATTTTCTAAGTGATTTAACTTTCTAGTTTGTAATCATGGTCAACGAAAATTACTTACAAATCGATAGCATACCTTAAGCTGTAATTTCCTGGCCATGACTAACCCATTCTTGCAACCAAGTTCGTGCTGAAGTACCTTCAGCTGAAATGCACCGAAATTTCAGCTGAGGGACTTATAATTAATGATCAAGCAAGCCTATGTTTGAGCAAGTTAAGTTCCAGAAAAAGCATACTTGGTCTTTGCTTGTATTGAACTCCTGCCAGGAAAGAAAAATAAAAAATAACTTTGAAATCACACTGTAACCAGAGAATTTCTAATTGAACCATACAAAGATGAGACGTACCGCCAAGATACGAGTGTTTGCCTGGGCAAGGAGCAAATTCTGTTCTTGAACCTTCTGAAAGTCAATCTTAAGTTTCTTCAGCTCACTTTTGATTCCACTGTGTCACAAACAACAATAAGTATTAGCAACCAATAAATGTACACAAAACTCATAAGTTTTCATATTTTCGATCAAAAATTACTCTCTTTCAGTGACGACTTTCATCAGTCTCATGTTTTCCTGCAAAAACAAGTTGATAAAGAGCCTGAATAAGTACAGTCAAAGAAAAGGAAAAAAATTCATTTCAATATCCAACTGAAGAATGTCATAAACAAATTCATGAACTCAGTGCCTTTTGAAGATTTTCAGCGTTTCCTTTGGAAGATACTAATATAGCTTGTTGCTGCTGCTTCCCTCCGTGATTCATTAGATTCTTCTGATTCTGCAAATTAGTTATATCCCCCAATTTTCGTCTTTGTGCACTGTTCATCAGAGGTTCCAGAACCATTTTCTCTCCTTTAGCGTTGTTAATAGGCACACCTACAGATTTCAAACGAATCTTATCGTAAACAATCATCGTAAAGCTAGCATTCTCGTGTAATTCGAGCACAAACTGAAGAAACCCCTAAAATCGACAAAGAACAACACTCCACCAGAAATTTCAAGTGAAGATTCAGGTTTTTTGGTGTTACCGGTTATGGGAGAGAAGGGTTACCTCCGAGCGAGTCGGGTTGCTAGGTCGGGATCCGACTCCGTCGATTCGCTGCGTCGGAGTGACTACCTTTCTGGGAGGCTTGTGGCGGGTTGGTGCGTCGGAGGAGAGACTCTTCTGACGGAAACCAGATTCTTCCGTCGGTGGTAGTCGATTTTCTGAGGCGGCCACGAAGCGGTGGGTCTTGAATCTGCCAGATTTAAGGCTCCGGTTGCTCTGCAAGCGTGTATCAACAAGGGGCGAGCTTTTCTTCTTTTTCCGGCGAGATGCCGATTTGCCGTTTTGTAACTGGATTGGTTTGAGAAGATACGTGTTTTGCTACTGAGTTGTATGTGTATCAGAATCAATCATTCGTACGCCATATATAGCTAAACCCACAGAAGCAGAAACTAAGCATCATTTCAAATTGTATTTTCATGAGTGTACCGGTGTACCGGTGTACGTAGAAAATAAACATGGAACTATCTGAGAAATTTCTATTTATTAAGAGGTAAGGATATATCTACAGATTCACTCTCACCCTCAATGTTACAGAGTTACCCCTCGGGTAAAGAAGACAGAGCATTGCATTGGTAATACATAAATTGCAAATGAGTAATGACCAACAATATAAACAGTTTATTTACGAAGACTTAACAGTAAAATGTACAATGTTCAAGAGTGTCTCCAACTTATGTAGTATGTACCGTAGTCCATATGCTGAAGTCAGAGATGTCAATCCTTAAGGAAAGGAAGACGAGTACCCGTAGTCCCCATGCTATCATCTGCTGCTTTTTGGGGGGATGAAGATGACAACGTCTTCTTGGTTGATCGGCGAGGAAGAATCTGAAGGCGCGGATTAAGGTGAGTGCCGAGGTTCTCAACTGCGAGTTGGTAACTCTCCACCAGCTCTAGCTGCCTAACTATTATGTCTGACCGTCTAGGAAGAAGCTCCACTGGTTCACCTCCCGGGATTACAATATATTCTATTGCTAGACGGACTTCCTGCGTTTCAGAAACAGGGGTGTATCAGTAGTTATGCTCGCAGGTCTCCCTAATCTATAATCACTGTATTGAGTCTTTTGTAACATGAGATATGGTAATGCTATAACTAATAGTTACTGGTCAAAAAGACTGATATGAGATATTTACAGGAGGGGGATGAGAGTTACCTCGAGGGCATCAAGTTCTTCTAAACTGGGTTTGCTCTCTGGAGCATCATCTTTGATCTCGATATCATCAACAGAAGATTTCTCAATGTTTTTAGGGGCTGAGCCAAATGATTCTCTTCCAAGGATCATTCGGACTGCCTTCACCATCTGAGCCATAGTAGTTGACTGCAAGGTAATAAACATGACGAAAGAAATGAATCAAATTAACGAAACAAAGGAATGCGCTGAATCATCATCAGCCATGCAAGAAGAAGGATACCTTAATGACAAATATCGGTAGCTTGTGTAATTTGGCAACACGACGGATCGACGAATTTTGTTTCAATTCAGAACTTGAGGCTAGAATGACATCTGCTTCTCCAACATCATCTGTCACTTCTATTTCGTCGTCTAGGCCCATAACTTCGGCTACTTGAAGGAGATCAGCTTCAAGGACCTAGAACACAATCAAAGGATACCATATCTATTGTTAGTATCTTTGGCTGTGTTAGATCAAGCTAATTTTCCAAGGATCAGAAAAGGCACATTTAGAAACTCGGGAAGAAAAGATCAGGTTCTTTACATTGTAAGTATAAACATGAACCGGTGAGCTTCTTGGGCTCGTGTATGTGTTACTGCTGGCCTTATTATACCGAATGGGAAGAAAATCTTCATCTTCATCGTCAGACAGAACTTCACTTACGAAATCTCTGTTGAGCAATGGTGCAGGCTCCTCTTCAAGTTTCTCCAAAGGAATGGGAGTCACTAACTTATGAGGAACATCATCTTCGCCACGAATTTGTCGGATCTCAAATGGAGCGGATTTCCCTATAATAACCAAGAAGTTTGTTCGGTTTCATTTTCCCATTTGTTAACTCAATTTCACAATTGGGAGGGGACCTCTTTTAACTTACCAGCTAGTATAGCATCAACGGTGACATCTAGTCTTTGATGAACACGACACTCAGTTCTCGATATCATCTCTACAGCACAAGTAAATGTCGGAGGTCCTTTTCTTTCAAGAATTGTCTTCTGCACTTTTCTTTTCCTTGCTTCTTCATCACCAAGAGTCACACTCTGGGTAAAATAAATTCAAATTAAGATTAACTAAGATAACAAGAGAGCAAAAAAAGAAGAAGCAAAGTTGTTGTTTAAGGTCATACCTCAATTCCACCAATAAGAATCTGCAAAGAAGGATTTTTGATTATGTTGTCTATAGTCATCCCATGAGCAGTTGCAACAAGCTGAACACCTCGTTGAGCAATAGTGCTAGCAGCTAAAGCTTCAAGCTCAGTTCCTATCTCGTCGATGATGATTGTCTCAGGCATATGATTCTCAACCGCCTCAATCATAACCTGCATGAGGTTTTTAGCATGAACAACTTGTTAATACAGCGAAATCCTTTTGATTTCTTCCTTCACCATAATATTACAAGGTTATAGAGTTGAGAGACGTACATCGTGCTGTAAATTCACATTTGGAACTTGCATCCGCCTGGCACGACCGATTCCAGAATGCGGAACATCACCATCACCTCCAATCTCATTTGACGTGTCAACAATAACTACACGTTTCCTGTGCTCATCAGCTAACATCCGTGCGATTTCTCTATACAAAGCAAACCAATCTTGTCATATACCATGTATCAATCACAGTTTCACAGAAACAACATCACATTATAAGTTCTGATGTACCTGATTAAAGTTGTTTTGCCAACTCCAGGAGATCCTATGACCAAGATGGATCCTCCTCCTTCAATCAAGTCTCTTATAATCTCTGCACTTCCAGATACTACTCGACCCACTCGACATGTTAGACCAATTACTTGCAGTTTGCGATTACGTATAGCGCTTATACGATGCAAGGATCTGTCAATCCCCGATCGGTTATCATCAGAAAAATCGCCAACCTAAATTCAAAACATTCATCTCCTCATCAGCTTAAATTCATCAAAACCATTTTGATTCAAACACAGAAGAGACCATAATCAGTATAAGCAATTCTTATCACTCTTCAAGAACTGCAATAAGCTAAAACATTTGGGAAATTAGTTGCATGTGTTAGATCAGAGACACACACATACTTTTGATACCGCAAGCTCCAGATCCTGGTGTGTCACAGGCTGTTCTGAGATCACCCAATCGCCGGAAGGGAATCTAGCAAGTGGCTTTCTCCCTAAATCCATCACCACTTCGATCAATTCCTCAATCGCCTCGTGCTTAACTAGCTCCTTCCTCGTTGCCGGAGGAAGAATCTCGAGGAAAGCGTCGAGCTCCACCGTAGGCGGAGCCGTCTTCGGTGACTTCCGAGATGAGATCGACGCAGAGTTTGACGAATCAGCTGACGGTGACCGAACATCGAAACTGAATCCATCAGATGGTCTCCGTACAGGAGACGGTGACGACGCCGGAGATTTCGATGAAGAGATTCTCTGACGCGCACCACGTGTTCGACGGAATGAGGAAGAGGAATCGGATGAAAAAGCGGTTGCGGTGGCTGAGATCAACCGGCGGGAAGCTTGCCATGAGCTGTTGATGTCGATCAGAACTAGCCGCGAATTCAACGCCCTCATCACGATAATTAATTATTTTTTAATTATGTACTTTTAAATAAAAAATGAATTAAATTAAAAGATTCCGTTTTTTCGTTTTAGCTACTGTGGTGTGTATGTCTGAAAAGCAGAAATGAAGAAGCTAAAAAGGAAAAGCTAAGGAGGAGACGAGCTATGAAGCAGAAAGAAACGACAGCGTTTTGATTATTAGTTTTTATCTTTTGGAATATGATGATGCGTGAAGACTGAAACTAGTGGAAGATTCCAAAGGATCAAAGCATCTAATTACACAGAAACTGCATCTGTATAGAGCAAGGTAGGGTCCATTGTGGAGGGAAAGATGATAACATAGCCGTTTAAGCAACTGGTTCAGGTGATGCCACGTGGAGAGTTGGACAATCTTGTTGACACGTGTCTGACAAAGAAGCTACCGATTATTGCCTGTTTCTTTGGAACTCTTTGACAATTTTAGCCCAAAGGCGGAGTTGGTGTTTCTCCCACGGCAGATGAAAAAAAACTCGTCAACTTTTTTGCTCTGCAAATTGAGATTTGAACCAAAATTGCTGACTAAATTAAACCAAACAAAAACCAGACTAAATGAAATGAAATAAAGGTCAAACCAAACATTGTGAATCTAGAAAGACGGTTCCTTAATGTCTTCAGTCATCTTCGTTTTTTAGCTGAATGGGCTTTAAGTTGCTTTACAATAGTGGTTTAGGATTGGGCCTTCTTATCTGGTCCATCCAGAAACCCACGTGACATTCACTAAAAAATTTAAGGTTTACGTCCACGTGAGGCCCATAAACTGTTTTTATCAAATATATAGCTATAAGTTGGCAATAATAATAAACCGACCTTAGCTCAGTTGGTAGAGCGGAAGACTGTAGTGGGTTATCCCAAAGAAATCTTTAGGTCGCTGGTTCGATTCCGGCAGGTCGGATTTTTTTTTCTTTTTCATTTTTAAATTATCTGGGACCCACACCCATCCATCTTTTGCTTCCCACTCAACTCGCGTGCCTAACCGTCGATTACTACGTCTGACGTTATCTTTATTGTAACGTAACAGATTTACCCACTATTTATCAAATTTCGCAAAATAGCCCCAACTTTCTCGGGCACGTATCAAAAGATCTTTCTGTGATATTTCCTGCCACGTGTACCTTCTCTCCTCCCCCAAATTGTTGTATACAATCTCAAAAAAGGAAAAAAAATAGAAGCACAGTTGAAAGAAAAAAAAATGGAGAAACTAACTTTTCTCAGCATTCTTTTGCATTTCGTCGTCTTCATCGCTTCAACGTTTCCGTCTTCATCGTTTCTCTTGAACGATCGCACCTTCGAGAGATCAAACTTGCCGTCAACGCGCGCGGAGAAGCTGATCCGGGAGCTAAACCTTTTCCCGCAGCAGGATCTGAATGTGATCGATGTCGCTGATTTGCCTCTCACTGCCGCGGAGGGATCGGGGATTGTTGAACGGAAGTTCGTATTCCCGAATATACTTGCCGATGGTGGTGGCGCAACTGTCGAAGATTTAGGTCATCATGCTGGTTATTACAAGCTCCCAAAATCTCGTGGCGCAAGGTTTATATCTAACTCTAGATTTTGGTTTATGCATCTGTACATTTGTGTTCGCGAAGATTCAGCATCTGATTTGTTATGGTTCAATTACAATTTGCAGCTAGCTCTTGACTAGGTTGTGTTTTAGTTTGATTTGAACATTGAACTTTTGGTGACGTTTTTTCTAATTAGAATCTCAAAGTACTGTTGATTTGCTTTGGTTTTTACTTGTTCGCTTGGTGTGTGTTAGCATGTTCTACTTCTTCTTCGAGTCACGCAGCAAGAAGGATGCTCCTGTTGTGATTTGGTTGACTGGAGGGCCTGGATGTAGCAGTGAGTTGGCTATGTTCTATGAGAACGGTCCTTTCAAGATCACTAGTAACATGTCTCTTGCTTGGAATGAGTATGGATGGGATCAGGTATTAGTACTTTCTATTATAGTCCTTATGGCTCTTGATTTTTGCACATGAAAGTTGATTGAGAATTTGTTTTGTCTTGTAGGTTTCCAATCTTCTGTATGTTGATCAGCCCGTTGGAACTGGTTTCAGCTACACGACAGACAAGAGTGATATCCGTCATGACGAAACTGGAGTTAGCAATGATCTATATGATTTTCTGCAGGTTTGAGCACTGGATCTACTCTTGAATTCCTTTTTAGTCTGCACTTTTCTGCTTTAAAGCTATGAATTGGACAAATACCTCTGTTAGACTGTTTTGGTTTTCTTGGGTCTTGAAATGGGAATCTGCCTATGTTTGCTCAGCTGTAACAAGATCTTGATTATGTTTGCTTGATGTTACCTCAGGCTTTCTTTGCGGAGCATCCTAAGTTGGCAAAAAACGACTTTTACATTACTGGAGAGTCATATGCTGGGCACTATATTCCGGCTCTTGCTTCTCGAGTCCATAAAGGAAACAAGGCTAATGAGGGAGTTCATATTAACCTAAAGGCATGTGACTATTTCTTGTTTTTCTCTTAAGGTGTTAATGGAAGTTTGTAGTGCTCACAAGTATAACCTTGCAGGGATTCGCCATTGGAAATGGGCTTACAGATCCTGCACTCCAATACCCAGCCTATCCTGACTACGCTTTGGAAATGGGTTTAATCACGCAAAAAGAGCGTGATCGTTTAGAAAAGATTGTCCCACTGTGCGAACTATCAATTAAGCTTTGTGGTACTTACTCCTCTATTCCTTATCAATTTATCTTTAAAATTGCCCTGTGTTTGATGAATCCTGAATCCGTGTTTTTGTTTTTCCAGGAACTGATGGCACAACTTCTTGTTTGGCATCATATCTTGTTTGCAACTCCTTGTTCAGTGGTGTTATGAGTCATGCTGGTGGAGTAAACGTAAGTACAACAGATCTGTTCAATTTTTATTGCTCATTGGATTTCTAGATAAAATTCTTTCTGGCAAACCATTTCTATCCTCACTTGTAGAAAAAAATTGTGTTTAATATTTCTGCATTTGAAGTAAGGGATAACTCATAAGAGATTAAGAGTAACATCACATTTCTTGTGTAGTATTACGACATCAGGAAGAAGTGCGTGGGAAGTTTGTGCTACGATTTCTCAAACATGGAGAAATTTTTGAATCTGCAATCTGTGAGGAAGTCGCTTGGTGTTGGGGACATAGAGTTTGTCTCCTGCAGTACTTCAGTCTATCAGGCAATGCTTGTAGATTGGATGAGGAATCTCGAGGTTGGAATTCCCACACTCTTGGAAGATGGAATCAGCCTCCTAGTGTATGCTGGAGAATATGATCTTATCTGCAACTGGCTCGGTAAGTTCCAAAACATAGATAATCAAATCCAGACATGAAAATAATGAAATAGATAATTGAACGGTTGAGTGAAACAAAATTGGAGCAGGTAACTCGAGGTGGGTGAATTCAATGGAGTGGTCAGGTAAAACGAACTTTGGGGCGGCTGAAGAAGTTCCGTTTATTGTCGATGGCAAAGAAGCAGGCTTGTTAAAGACTTATGAACAACTCAGTTTCCTCAAGGTCGGCTTTTCTTACATAATAACAACAGTCTTTCTTTGGTTTCTGCTGGTTTTCTTGAAGTATGTAACAACAACAAAAGGTTTGATGGTTTAAACATAAAATACAGGTTCGAGATGCAGGACACATGGTTCCAATGGACCAGCCAAAAGCTGCATTGAAAATGCTGAAGCGATGGATGGAGAATTCGCTTATCGAAGATGCTACTGTGGCTGCTCAGGGAGGAGAGGAACTGGTTGCTCAGATGTGATCCCATCTTCTTTTGCGTTGCGTGAAACCAAAAGCAGCAAACATAAAACAATGTGTGAGCAATTGACGTTTACTTCTGTAATTTGATCTCATAAGTCATAAGAAAGATACAGTATATGTAGGGGTTGCCCAATTTCGCTATAAAATCAAACTCTGCTGACACCAATAACATTCTGAAAGGGAAAAATAAATACTAACGAAATGTGTAAAATAAATTTAACAAGGCATTTACCAAATTATGAAATCGGAATAAAGCTTGGTTCCTCTACATGACACATGGCAAAACATGATTGGCCCCAGGAACGATTTTATCTAACAAGCAAGATAGAGATGAGATTAGGAGACAAGGAGCAATGTCGATTTCTTCGTTGGGGTCTGCAATCTCAAGGCCAACTTCTTCATCATCTTCATATACGTACTTAGTAAGCTCTTCTCGCATCTTTGGCCTCGCTACGTCTTCTTTGTTATGGACAAAGAACAAACCTCACCACACAAACACAAAGCTTAAGCAGCAAAAGCCATGTGTTAGAAATTCAGCTCAAGAGATTCCACAGACACTTGAGGAAGATTCCAAGTTTGTACCTTTAGATCCTCAAGATCCTCGATTCGGCCCTCCAGTCAGTTTCTTTCACCTGTTTTAATCTTTGTTTAGTGTTGATAGATAGTCTATAATGATAACAAACACTTTGATTCTATCTTTTTATTTGCAGGTTTTGCTGTTGCTTGGCCTTCAACTTCATGAAGCACAAAAGGTGATATATAGATGGAAATCACACTTGGCAAAGCTTTTTGAGTCTTTGGATTAATCCATCGTCTTTTAATGCAGATACAAGAGCTTCTTAAGGAACTTGATGGCGAATTTATGGAGGTTATATGAATTCTTTCTCTCTGACTCTTGCAAGATCCTGAAACTTTTCGAGATTTCATAGAACCTTATGTTGCTGTTTGGACTCCAGATTGTTTTCTGTACAGAAGATATGATCCCACGCTCGTTATGGGAAGCAGTCAACACAAAACAGCCTGACCTGAAGAGAGTGAATGTATGTGGCTTTCAATTTCCATTCAGGTTCTTTTGTCTTGTTTCTTACATAGATTCGCCTATACAGGTCGCGAAGTCGCTGCCTCGGATCTGCTTCTTATCTGGTTTGACAGGAGAGGAGATGATGATGTTCATTGACGCATTTCCAGAAACTGGTACCTACAATACATATTCAAAATGAAACTTAGGACAATAAAAGGAAGACTCTAACGAATGTCTTTTTAAAAACTGGTGGATCAAATGCAGGGCTAGAACCCGTTGTGTTTGCAGCTATGGTTCCGAACAGTGCTGATAAACCTATCTTTGAGTTAATTGAAGAAATCATGGGAGATCATGAGTTATTGGTTAGTCAATCTTAAAAATGTTGCACCAAAGTCAGCTATGGTCTTGAATCTTGATATGCATAAAACAATGAAACACTTGTTCTCTATGCAGACCGGGAGCGGTTCCAGCTGAAATTTTTGAGTGAGGAAGACAACAGGACAGCTTTAAAAGTCTTCAGGTTTCTGCAACATGACTTTAAAAGTTTTTTGCACTACCCAAAGTATATTGTACAAGAGTGTAGTCTTCAAATGAGATGCACAAGAATGCAATGATCAAATTAAGAACTGACACAAGTTCCCTTATATTCGATGCTTTGCTTATACGTATGTTTGACTTGAGCCCCATAAATCAGCGGCATACATAGATCAAGTATGTAAATTTTAGAATGATACAATTGGTTACAGTTCAGTGCTTAAAAACAAGAAATTCGTATTAGGGACCGCAATTTTTACAAGCCCGAAAACGATTTGGCCCAAGGCCCAACAGGATAGAGATTAAAGAAATTGAAGGCTTATTTAACACCCCTAGGACTTGTATAATAACAATTGTGCCGACTATGTCGCCGTTGAGATATGTCACTGCGCTGGCATCACGCGGAGGGAGAGGGCTTCTCTCTCGCCGCAGTTTCTCTACATCCGCCGTTAGCAAAGGTAAAATTAAGATCAAAAGCTCTGATTCCGCATAAAATATATCATATTAATATTTTTTTCTAAAAATGTTTTGTTAAGGAATGATGGAGAGATTTCGCAAACTTTCCAAACCAGTTGGAAGACTGACTGCGGGATATCTAATAGGTATATATATTCTAATAGAGAGACTGAAAGAATTGTTTTTACGATCTTAATATTTATTTTCCTGAATGATGCTTACATTTTCGTCGATAAACATTTCGATTTAGCTTATCTTCACCTTCACGATATGGTATCAGCGCATAGGGAGGAGTTAGTTAAGGAGGAGCTGGAAAAAGGTAAAAAAAAATAAGCGATTGTTTGACATTGTGACCATTTGGGATAAAAAACATTACTGGATTATTGAAAAACCAAACACTAAACTTGAATGTGTTTTCTCTGATTTGTAGGTGAAGAAGAAGAAGAAGCAGGCGCAGCCTGATCTGATGAATTAAAATAAGATATGTTTGTGTCTTTGATCTGAAGAATTTCAAAATAAGAAATGCAATTTTTTTCTTTACAGTAAGACAATTAGGATTTCCTTTTTTCCTATTTATAAGTTAGATTTTACAAATTTTCATATCTTTTATATTATCAAAATATAATTTTATTTGCATTATCTTCATATTTTTACAATTTTTTGTTAAGTTTATATTTTTTAGTGGACATACATTCAATCAAAATATATTTTTATAAGATTTGTTTTAATAAATATAACGATATCCGTGCTACGCACGGGAGAGAATATTAGTAATAATAATAAAGCGCACGAAGAAAAGGGTAGAGTAGACGAAGAAGAAGCGAACCCTAATTGTGCCGACTATGTCGCGGTTGAGACACCTGAGATCTGTCACTGCGCTGGCATCACGCGGAGGGAGAGGGCTTCCCTCTCGCCCTACATCCGCCGTTAGCAAAGGTAAAGTTAGGATCAAAAGCTCTGATTCTGTATAAAATCTATCATTTTTTTTTTTTTCTAAAAATGTTTTGTTCTTTTTGTTATCTGTGATTGTAGATGTAGATGAGACGAAAGTATTGGTGGAGGTCAGGAATATGAAGAAACAGATGCTTGTTCTCTGGGGATATTTATCCTGTGGAAGTATGGGCTACCTTGCTTGGGGTAATCTTGTGATTATCCGTTTATTATCGGTGGAGAGATTATTCATTCATTATTCCTTGTGATTGCTAATTTTTTTTTTTTTTTTTTTTTTCATACCTTAGAGTCTATTCAATTACACAATGCTCTCGAACAGGCGAGACAGGTATGAATTCATTGTTTCTTTTAGGATATATATAACATTTGGGATATAAGGTTTTCGAAATAACATTTGGGATATAACATTACTGGGTTTTCTAGATAACATTTGGGATAAGACATTACTGGGTTATCGAAAAACCAAACACTAAACTTGAATGTGTTTTTCTCTGATTTGCAGGTGAAGAAGAAGAAGAAGCAGGAGCTGAAGAATTAAAATAAGATATGTTTGTGTGATTGATCTGAAGAATTTCAAAATAAGAAATGTTTGTGTACCTTATTGTTTCTCTCCAGTATAATCAATTGCCTTTGCTTTTGTTCGAATGTGTGATTTCAGATTATTATTGATGATGCTTCGGCTTATCGTTAACAATCTCTTGATATCATAATTAGGTTTTTCAAGATCCATAAACCAAACTATAATGTTTCTTTCTCTGATTTATTTTACTTCTTCTACATATACTTTGCCTTTAATATGCAGCAAAGTCAGCTATGGTCTTGAATCTCTTGATATGCATAAAACAATGAAACACTTGTTCTCTATGCAGACCGGGAGCGGTTCCAGCTGAAAGTTTTGAACGAGGAAGACAGCAGGACAGCTTTGAAATTCTTGAGGTTTCTGCAACACGACTCTAAAATGTTTTTTGCATTACCCACAGTATATTGTACAAGAGTAGTCTTCCGATAAAAAAGTGAGATGCACAAGAATGCAATCATCAAATTAAGAACTGACACAAGTTCCCTTATATGAGTCAAAATGTAACTTCACTTGGACACATACCCACAGTCACCAAACAAATGTAAAATGAAGACAAAACCAAATCAATCTCTTTTTCTCTGATTGGAGTTGATTCAAAATTCACATAGGTGAGGATATTGCACTCTAAAAATCAAGAGCTGACATGCATTGATGAACAACTATGTAATCTTCAAACCAAGAACTTAAACGAGTTGCGTTTTCTAGTGAAAAGGTATCTTCTTGGACACTATTTAGCTTAAAAGAACCAGACTCATCATCAAACATGATCTCATACGAAGACAAAATCAGATCAACTCAAACCCAGAAGAGTGTAATTGATCAATCTCTCTTTCAGTATTCACAAACCAGAAAATGGATCAAAGAAGCTAATCTTCATCATCACTCTCATCACTAAAGTAACTAACTTTCTTCTCCTTTCTCTTCTTCCTCCTCTCTTCTTCTTCCTCTGCTTCTCTCATTCTCAACCTCTCTCCGGCTTCATTGTCCACCACCGAAGCCCAATTCTCCTCCTCAAATCCCTCCTCCGGCACAGGCAACGATGACGCCGCAGACCAATCCCTAATTTCCTCAGCCTCACCTTCATCCTCCTTCCGCCGCCCTCTCCTCTTCGGCGGCGGTGGTCTCTCCCTTGGACCTAACTGATTTTTAGGGCACTCATACGAAAGATGTCCTTCGTCTCCACACTCGTAACACCTCGATTTATCCTTGTAAACTCTCTTCTTAATAAACTCCGACGCACGTCCATTATCGGCAGCGATCGAAACCGTCAATTTCCGACCGTTAAGAATCTTCGCGTCCATAGAACGCGCCGCTTTAGCTGCGTCTTCACGAGAAACGTAGAGCACGAACGCGACGCCACGGGATTGGCGAGTGTGGCGATCTTTGAGAACAGTGACTCTCGCGACCTTGCCGAAAGTGGAGAAGAGAGTGTGGATGTCGGAATTGGTGAGGGAGAAATCGAGATTGGAGACGTAGAGTGTTGATTTTGAAGGAGCTAAGCCGCCAGATCCGCCGCCGGGAGCTGATGATTTGGCGGAGGAAGAAGGTTGTTGTTTAGGGTTCGAAGATGGTGGTGCTGCGACGGAAGAATAGCGATAGTAGAAAGTGTCGTCCTCTTCATCGTCGCTATGATGAATCTTCTTCTTCTTCATTTCCACTTTCTTCCTTTAATTATTTCAATTTTTCTGTTCATCTACGAATGGTATATTTATATGTAACATGTTGATGAATTATTAATTCTCGTAGACTTTTCTTTGTTTTGGTAAGAAAAAACATATTTCGATGTAATGAAGAATGAAAAATCAAATATTTTATTTTTAGCTATTTGCAAATAAAAATTCCTGATAATATAGACAAATTATCATTTGTTAAAATTTTATAATTAAATTTGTTACAATAGTAATGGATTATGAACTACAGATGTTGTATCAAACAGGGATTCTCCAGAAGCAGCAAGTGTTCATTCATTGTTCCATCTTTTTCATCGTCTCACCACCATGTAAGGAACCACCTACATGTGTGTTATTATCCATGTAAATGATCAGAATTTCAAAAGAACAAACAAGTTAAGAAAAATGAATACCAGAAGAACTCGATGCAACTCCTGTGCCCAAAGACTTGCTTTCCCCCTGCATGCTGCTACCTCCTCCTATCGACTCTACTATTCTAGGTTCTTGTTGCTCTGAGGCTTTGCCATTACCTAAAGACTCTGATTTTATACTCTCTGAGACGCCATTGTTATTACTTTGCTTCAGCGGCACTGGTCCTTTAATCCTTCTGTGCAACAGAATGTTTTAAGAGATGTTTTTTTTTTTTTTTTTTTATAAGTGAGAGAGATCATTGCACATAAGATCTTGTAGTTTACCTGATCATCTTCCGCTTCAGTGCACCGGATTTTGCTTTTAATATACCTTCTCAATATAGAAGAAGTTAAAGACGTGTTAGTACTGGTTCTATCCGATATGTATGGAGTAATCAAATCAGGAAATTACGGAGCCTAACCAGATTTTGTGCCTGAGGTAGATGATGATGGTAGCTTGCGACCGGTACGCTCGGCTTTAATAGAAGCAATGACTGAATCAGCTCCAATACCAAGACCTTTTCTCCCCACCAGTTTCACTCCAAGTGTTTCACAGAGATAGTAAAGTCGCTTTTCATCACCACCTCTGACTTCTCTCAGGTCAAGAGCCTGTTGTCTAGTTAATAATGTATACACCTGAATCTGTTGCTGTTGGTTGAAATGAGACTGAAGCTGCTGAAACAGTATCTTGTTTGAGTGTTGATCTGCTTTTGGGTCCTCGTTTCTCTTACGAGGTTCGCTTAGAGTTACCCTCAAAATTGCAGGAGATTTTGGGTCTGGATTCCTCCTACTAAAGATTATGGAAAAACTCCCAAACTCTAGATCAGGGTCCCTGAATAAATCTGCAAGAAGAATGGCACAGGAATGAGCATTCTTTGATGGGTTCCTATCGATTCTTTTCCTTATGCCTCGGGCCTTTGCAGATTGAGCCATGTTTGCAGCTTCTCTCAGACCAGTAACAAAAGCTCCATGCATGGTTGCAGGGTATCGCCTTGTCGTGGCTTCTCCGGCGAAGAAAAGCCTTCCATCTCCGACACTTTCTGCTAATATTTCGTAATCATCGCCTGAAGCTCCCACTGCAACATTGGAGTAAGATCCTAAACTGAATGGATCCCCACCCCATCTGGTGCAGACCGTTTGTAGTGGATCAGGGACAATTATACCTTGAGGTTCATAAATACCTGAAATTCATTAAAATGGAAATTGTGACATACGTTAGCATCAACGTCAACAAATCTGGAGTACAAATCCTGAACTAATAATTCTGGACCTACGTAAACAAAGAGTAGGTCTCTTGAAGATTGATATTGACAGGTAAAAATTGAAATTTTTAATTAAATGACAATCAATAGATATAGTGAAATCTATTACCCCTAAGAATATGAAGAACACGAGTCACTGCGTCAGTGGGTGGCATTGTCTCAAACTTATGAGCAGCTTCTCCCGCAACCAACGCGATCAAGAGAGGACCACCAGCAACAGGTGCGTAGCTATAGAACAGAAAGAATTCACCTCGATAGTTCGGATCCTCAGTAAGATGCCCAAAGGTATCGAGATCTGTGCTCCAAAATACATACGGAAAGAGCATTGCAACTTTGTTCAGTAACCCAAAACCTAATCTCTTTATACAATCAAGCTTTCTCTGAGGTAATTCGGGAACAAATTTGATGGATCCGTTCTTAAGAACACCAAGGGGAACTGTACACAGCACCATATCACCCTCATACACTTGATTTCCAGCAATTACCTTGACACCATTTGAACCATATCTGATTGTTTGGACGGTCTTCTCATATAAGATTGGTACATTTTCAGCCAAAGCCTGAACCAGCCTTCCATTTCCTCCAGGCAGAAAGCAGTGGTCTCCACCCATATCATATGGGTCATCTTGATCCCAGAATGCAAGAGAAAGCTTTGATACTAGGCCCGCATTTGCATATTCCAAGTTAGCAAGATGCCAGTTAAACAAACCCATCTCCTCGGTGGCCAAATCCTTCCCAGAAACCTGCCTGAATGTCTCGAGTGCTGCCCCAAGGGAGACATCCATGGAAACATCACCCATCAACTGCCTAAGTTTACTTGCCTTGTCTAGAAGCTGGTTAAAAGCTACCTCAACCTTCATATCCACATCTGGATCAACCGGTTTACCATCCACTCTATAAAGAGGACACTTATCTCGTACCTTATAAAGAGAAGAGCCCAGCTGTCTGGCAATAATCCCTAGAGGATTTCCTAATGTTCCAGTCAAAACACTCCCACCTAAATCCGCTGCAGCACCTACCCTATTAGCTTCCATCTTTTTGGTATAAACCCGTCCACCGGGTCGTTTCCTACCCTCCAAAACCGTGACTTTAAACCCAAACCTCATCAGTTGCCTAGCTGCAGCCAACCCAGACAATCCAGCACCCACTATAACCACACTAGACTTGCTTGATTGAGCAGGAAACTTATCTTTAATTGCCTGTGCTATTCCAAAATTTATATATCCATGTGTAACCAAGTAATTATAAGCCGAATCCAAGAGACTACTGCAATGTTTAGGAATAGAATCGAAAAACATCTCCTTTGTGACCCAACTAGATATATTTTCTCGCCATTTGGATATGATGTGGTTCCTAATCAAGATGTAATTGACTTGTTCAATGCCTCCAACCACAGGGACCACACCGAATTCAATCTCTTCCTCGGTAAGCGAATCAGCAGGAAACCCAGCTGTGAGAGCAAGCAAAGCTTCGGTGGTAGCCTCCTTGTTAATCGTAATGATCTCATCACCAATCCCAGGATAACTTTTCACAGTCTGGTTCGATCCATTGACGACCTCTACGTTAAATCTACCGGAGGAAGAAGCTGAAGATGACACAAAATTAGTGTGACCTGGAAGAACACCTACGTTAGGGACGGGGAGGGTATTAAGCGACGACACTGAGCGCTGAGAACGGCCTCTCCTTCGTTTCTTTGGCGCGGAGAATGAGACCATCTGCTCAAAACTAGGGTTAGAGATTGAGGTAGAGATCGAATTCGGAAATGGATTCAAACTTGTTTCTACATTGAGATTTGAGCTCGACTGTGGAGGAAGAGTAGAGAATTGAGACTGAGCTATAAAGGGGACATTATCTGGGATTTTATCCGGTGGATTCATCGTTCCCGTCGCCGTAGAAGAATTTGCAGGAGAGTGATCGATGAGGAGAGGAAGACGAAAAGGATTGTTTGGTTACTCGATTAACTTTATCTTTGTTTTATTGACTATTATGATCCCACAATTTTTAAATTTTTATTATTAACAAATTTGGGAAAAAAACAACAGAAAACAGGGAAAAAGTAAAACAGAAAAAAAAAAAAAAAAAATAGAGAGAGAAGAAAAGTCTGGAAAATTAGAAGAACTTGGAACCCAACGAGAGAACATAACAAACGCGTATAGATTTTTTCCTTTTCTTCTTCTTCTTCACCATTTTCTCGAGATTTAGCTCTTCTCTTCGTGATCGGGAACGTATTGATCAGATTCGAGCGAGGATTCGTATTTCCATGTAAGATTTGCAGCTGGAATCGAATTTGTTTCTCGATATTTTTCTCTCTAGATCTACTTCGAGACGAAGTGTTTGATTGGATTTTTGTATATGGCAATAGTCTCGTCTTCAGTTGGAATTCTCATGTAATTGGAATTATGATTCTCTGCTTATGGATAGATCTTTCGCTGAAGGACTGATCATTGAATTGCTTACATTTTGTTCTCCTGACTTGAATTTTCTATGTTCTCCGTTCGGTCCACTAGCTTCTTTGTGTGTACTGAACTGCGTATTATCGTGATTAGACGTAGGAATGTTGTAATTGCGTGGTCTCTAGCTCATGTATGGGTTTTGGACTTTTGTTTTCAGCTACAGAGAGCTTGATTGGAATGTGCTGAGGAACACTCATTTGGGCTCTAATAAGCCAAGCGGAGTGAGTTCGCCAGCATGGGGATTTTCAATGGTTTGCCTGTACCCTCGGATAAAACTGTAAGCTCACTTTCCTCACTCCTAGTTGAGTTAACAAACTTTTAAGGAGGAATTGTTTGCTTCTTTTGTCCCCTTCGAAATTATTAATAGGGACATTAAGTATGTCGGTTCTTTTTCTTATATCTCTTCATCTTGGGGTTGGAGTTAATTGGAACAACTACTATGGAGGCTAGACAAGAGATTGACTGAAATTTTCACCACTCTCGATTTGGTTATGTATTTCGTTTTGGAGTTCATGTGTGTGTATCTGTGTCTGAGTGGTGATGGTTATTGCAGTACCTTAGGGAGGAGCTGGCAAGAATAGATGAGAGCTGGGCTGCTGCACGATTTGACTCTTTGCCACATGTTGTCCATATTTTGACATCAAAAGACCGTGAAGCTGACATTCATATATTAAAGGAACAAAGTGATGTTGTCGAGGAGGTTGTAGACGAAGTTGTCCACGCTTATCATGGTGGTTTCAACAAGGCCATTCAAAACTATTCCCAGGTTTCTAATATCTGTTTGCTCTTATTGGATAGTACCTTTTGTTTTTCTAAAGTAGCAACCTCTGTTACCGATTATTGACTTCCATATTGCGTGCTCCATTTACCAATGATACAAATCTAATCGATACTAACTATGGCTGCTTCTATGATTTCTACGTGTAGAATTTTCTTTACGAATAACACTTCTGTAGTAATTTATCTACTAAAAGTTCATTTGTGGAACACCTTGGTTTTGATTATCTCCCTTCGTTTGCTCTGCTTTCAATTTATTCCTCATCAGATCTTGCGATTATTCAGTGAGTCCACTGAAAAGATAGGCGACTTGAAGCACGATTTAGCAGAAGCGAAGCAGAGCTTGGGTGCACGCAATAAACAATTACATCAATTGTGGTACCGTTCTGTTACATTGCGGCACATCATCTCACTTTTGGATCAAATCGAGGGCATTGCTAAGGTTGGTTGAATTAGCTGTTACATTTCTTAGTTTATTTTGTGTGGACAGTGCTTGCTATGTATCTGCGCTGCTCTGAAGTTTCATACTTCATTCTTGATCTCTGTATATCTGATGATACTTTTGTTGATATTTTCCCAATATTTTTTCTTACTTTTTTCTCACTTTGGGTTACTTAAAAGAAACTGCTTTTCTGATGTGAAAATGGTGGCCCTGCCTCTTGAAACATTGAACAGGTTCCATCTCGTATTGAGAAGCTCATTGCTGATAAGCAGTTTTACGCTGCTATTCAAGTGTATCTCCAGTCATCTCTGATGCTGGAGCGTGAGGGGCTTCAAACGGTAATTTACTTACTACAAATATGAACAAATGTTGGAAAATCAGTGTCATGGGAATATTGTGGGTCTTCCCATTCATTTGTCAATTTGATCTCTGGGATTGTTTTGTAATAAATCCATTGAAGAGGATCTGGTATCATCTAATTTCTGTTGGGACTTTCAAATTATCTCTATTCGAGGGATCTGCTGTTCTTTTGGATGTTGAACTCATAGATATTTTACGTTCACCTAGGTTGGTGCTCTTCAAGATGTCAGATCTGAGCTAACTAAGTTGCGGGGAGCCCTTTTCTTCAAAATTCTAGATGATTTGCATGCACACCTATACAATAGAGGTGAATACAGGTAGGTTTCTTTTGTGTTCCTATAAACGAATTTCAGAAGCTGTGCTGCTTTTAATCCTCGGTTCTAGTGGCATGCTTACTTGATAGTGTGCCTCATCACTTCTGTCAGTGCAAAAGTTTCTGTTCTTGACCATGTTTATGCTGCAGTTCAGTTGCGTCAAGCATATATGAAAGAGATGATGAAGTACCAACGACAACAGCTGTTGCAGCTAGTCGAATGAGCTCACAACCACTGTCTCGTAGAACACGGACGCTGAAAGGTGATAGTCAGTTTGGTGTTAGAGGGCTCACAAATGGTTCATATAGAACCGGTTCTAATGATGAAAGGTATTATATAGCAACATTTCCCTTCAGTTGATTCTTCATGGGATATTAGGAACATTTTTGCGTGTATATAGATCATTAACTCTATTCTAAGCAATCAATGTTTAGTAACTGTCTCTTTAGTTGTGGTTCTCCATAGAGGCTTTCACGCCTTTGTTAATATTGAGATTAATATACTTGCATCATTTCGTAATCATTATGTGGAGATTATCCTTGTAGATTCTTTCATTAGAATATATGTTGATAAAAGAAACTACACTGTAAATTGATTATTGCAAAAGTTGCTTTGTCTAGCCAAGGTTGTGTGCTACACGCAACCTTTGTTCTGGTTTTACAAAATATACTTTACTGGTTTTGCTATCCCTTGACTTCGCTAATGTTTGTATCTTTTATCACATTGTGTTTCTTAGTTCATCATTTGATGGACATGATGAAGAGGACTCCGTAGAACATGATGAATCCACCACAGATACTGCCAGGAATGGCACTGATAGTAAATTGCTTTCTTACCAACTTCCGCCATGGCTTTCTGATTCCACTCCTGACGAGTTTATTGTACGTGTTTGTGACGCGGGCGTATAACATATTTTCTCCCCATTTTTTATCAGTGTCATGACATTGTTTTTCTCCTGTTTCAGGAAGCAATAAGAAAGAGTGATGATCCACTGCATGTGAAGTATCTACAGACCCTTGTTCAGTGTCTCTGCATGCTTGGCAAAGTTGCAGCTGCTGGTGCTATCATATGGTTGGCTTTCTAATAGTTTTCATTTTTGTAAATGATTTTATAAATACTACTGTTTCTGTTTTACAGCTGTTAGTTATAGAAAATTCACTCCTTTATCTTAGTTTTAGATCGCTAGCAGATGGCCTCATTTCGTTAGTTAACTTGTCACCCCTGTCATCACGAGATACTATCTTTATCAAATGTATAAATGTAATTTTTGGGACCAGTGAACCTTTATCATTCTTGAATTTAAAGATGAATGGATAACCGATGCAGCTCAGTAGTTTTGCATTCAAGTTAGTTGATGGAAATCAGTACATTCGTTCTTATAAATTGTGAACTTTTCTAAGTTATGTTTTGGTGTTCGCTTGCAGCCAAAAACTTCGACCCACAATTCATGAGATCATAATATCCAAGATTAAAGCCCATATGGAGACTACAAATTTGTCAAAGTCCGCGTGTAGTCAGGGTGATCGAAATGTAGCTGCCGGATTACATTTTATCAAAGGACAGTCGGAGGCCTACAGGTTATCAAAAGAGAAACCTCAAAATGGGATATCAAATTCAGGAACTCACTTGGCTGTGAGCCCTGTTTCGCCTCTTATGGCTCCTGGAGGCAAAGCGCAGACTGCAGCAAAAGAACTTCTTGACTCGATTTTAGATACTATTGTCAAGATATTTGGTGAGAAATTCAACTCTTAAACTCATCTCAGTATTTCTTTTTCAAAGTCAAAGGTCAAAATTTTGGTTACTGTTGCTTCTATAGAAAATCATGTTGTTATTGGAGAGCTTTTGGAGTTGAAGGCTTCGCAACATGACATTAACACACCAAGGTCATTACCTACTGATGTGAACTGGAACACCGAGTCTGAAGCATCCCAAGCTACTGGAGGCTACACTATCAGTTTTCCCTTGACAGTCTTACAGGTCCGCTATTATATTCCAAATATCTAATTTGTCGTGAAGCTAAATGTTTATGAATCTACATTGAACTACTGGGTTCTCATACTTGAGCTTATTGAAATTCTATGTGTTAATTGATGAAGAGTGAATGCCAACAACTCATATGTGAGATTCTACGAGCAACTCCAGAAGCTGCTTCAGCAGATGCTGCTGCACAAACTGCTAAGCTTGCAAAGAAGGCTCCGAAGAAAGACAAAAGGTAAGTGACCCACACACATTGGTAGTTCATAAATTTACCCAGATGGTTTTCTCATCATCATGTAGATACATAAACAACGTGCATCATGAAAGATGTCCCAAGAATTAGACGTATAGATTTTGTTTTTAAAAGGCCTGGTTTCCATGTACAAGCATGTTTGTGTTGGGGCTGTGAATCACCTGGTATGGTCATTCGATAATAGAGGGAGGATGGTAGGGTTAAGATTTCTTCCGACAATCTAGTAAGAAGGGTTTTACGATACCTAAGTCTGAAAATTTGTCATTTAGGTTCTTCTCAGCGTGCTAGTAAAGTGGAGCCCTGAAGAGTATAACAGAGATTTGAAATTTTTGGTTGCTGGATCTTTAGCCTGTCTGAGGTTATTGAAATTT